TCTCTAGGCCCTAGCATTCCCTAGCATAGCATAGCATTCTCCTGACGTGCCTAGAGCAGTCTGACTGTGGGCCATCGAGTTATACAGACACTAAAACTCTGTGTTTGGGTCATTAATTGTGTGTGTGTGTGGGTGTGTGTTTGTGTGAGTGCGTATGTGTGCATACATGTGTATCCACGCATACTTTAGTAGTGAGCAATTCATTATTTAGAAATACTGCTAGATCAGCAAATGTTTGTCAAGAAATGAATGATTGTGAAGACAAGAGATCCAGATGTTTTTTTTTTTTATGTTAATAATCAACAAGTTGTATCAGTCTGTCTGTTGTTCCTGTGTTTCCTGTCAGTGAGATAACAGAGTGGATCAGCTTGACCAGACGACTCTTGTTTCTAATCAGTCACTCAGCCTCATGTGTTGCTCTGCAATGTTACTCACACAAATGTTTTAGCTTGTGAATTTGACAGCTTCAATTGGGAAGTGAAGTCACAAAAACAAGTTTATAGTAATGGTTTTTTATTTTTTATTTAGCAACTGTCAGAATGACTTTCACTCTTACATTTACATTTACATTTACGTCATTTAGCAGACGCTCTTATCCAGAGCGACTTACAAATAGGTGCATTCACCTTATAGCCAGTGGGATCACCAATTTACAATATATATATATTTTTTAATAATTTTATCTTTTCATTAAAATGTTCTATTTTATTTTAATTATTTTAATCTTTTTTTCATTTTTTAAATTGTTTTTTTGTTTTTGGGTTGGGGTTTGGGTTGGGGTAAGGGGGGGGTAGAATGATTACTTTATCCTATCCCAGGTATTCCTTAAAGAGGTGGGGTTTCAAATGTCTCCGGAAGGTGGTGAGTGACTCCGCTGTCCTGGCGTCGTGAGGGAGCTTGTTCCACCATTGGGGTGCCAGAGCAGCGAACAGTTTTGACTGGGCTGAGCGGGAACTATGCTTCCGCAGAGGTAGGGGAGCCAGCAGGCCAGAGGTGGATGAACGCAATGCCCTCGTTTGGGTGTAGGGACTGATCAGAGCCTGAAGGTACGGAGGTGCCGTTCCCCTCACAGCTCCGTAGGCAAGCACCATGGTCTTGTAGCAGATGCGAGCTTCAACTGGAAGCCAGTGGAGTGTGCGGAGGAGCGGGGTGACGTGAGAGAACTTGGGATGGTTGAACACCAGACGGCTGCGGCATTCTGGATGAGTTGTAGGGGTTTAATGGCACAGGCAGGGAGCCCAGCCAACAGCGAGTTGCAGTAATCCAGACGGGAGATGACAAGTGCCTGGATTAGGACCTGTGCCGTCCGAATGTTGTAGAGCATGAACCTACAGGATCGGGTCATCGCCTTGATGTTAGCGGAGAACGACAGGGTGTTGTCCAGGGTCACGCCAAGGCTCTTCGCACTCTGGGAGGAGGACACAACGGAGTTGTCAACCGTGATGGCGAGATCATGGAACAGGCAGTCCTTCCCCGGGAGGAAGAGCAGCTCCGTCTTGCCAAGGTTCAGCTTGAGGTGGTGATCCGTCATCCATACTGATATGTCTGCCAGACATGCAGAGATGCGATTCGCCACCTGGTTATCAGAAGGGGGAAAGGAGAAGATTAGTTGTGTGTCGTCAGCGTAGCAATGTTAGGAGAGGCCATGTGAGGATATGACAGAGCCAAGTGACTTGGTGTATAGGGAGAATAGGAGAGGGCCTAGAACTGAGCCCTGGGGGACACCAGTGGTGAGAGCACGTGGTGCGGAGACAGCTTCTCGCCACGCCACTTGGTAGGAGCGACCGGTCAGGTAGGACGCAATCCAAGAGTGAGCCGCGCCGGAGATGCCCAGCTCGGAGAGGGTGGAGAGGAGGATCTGATGGTTCACAGTATCAAAGGCAGCAGACAGGTCTAGAAGGACAAGAGCAGAGGAGAGAGAGTTAGCTTTAGCAGTGCGGAGAGCCTCCGTGACACAGAGAAGAGCAGTCTCAGTTGAATGACCAGTCTTGAAACCTGACTGGTTTGGATCAAGAAGGTCATTCTGAGAGAGATAGCAAGAGAGTTGGCTAAAGACGGCACGCTCAATAGTTTTGGAGAGAAAAGAAAGAAGGGATACTGGTCTGTAGTTGTTGACATCAGAGGGATCGAGTGTTGGTTTTTTGAGAAGGGGTGCAACTCTCGCTCTCTTGAAGACGGAAGGGACATAGCCAGCGGTCAAGGATGAGTTGATCAGCGAGGTGAGGTAAGGGAGAAGGTCACCGGAGATGGTCTGGAGAAGAGAGGAGGGGATAGGGTCAAGCGGGCAGGTTGTTGGGTGGCCTGCCGTCACAAGTCGCAAGATTTTATCTGGAGAGAGAGGGGAGAAAGAAGTCAAAGCATAGGGTAGGGCAGTGTGAACAGGACCAGCAGTGTCATTTGACTTAACAAACGAGGATCGGATGTCGTCAACCTTCTTTTGAAAATGGTTGACGAAGTCATCCACAGAGAGGGAGGAGGGGGTGGGGGGGGGGGGAGGATTCAGCAGGGAGGAGAATGTGGCAAAGAGCTTCCTAGGGTTAGAGGCAGATGCTTGGAATTTAGAGTGGTAGAAAGTGGCCTTAGCAGCAGAAACAGATGAAGAAAATGTAGAGAGGAGGGAGTGAAAAGATGCCAGGTCCGCAGGGAGTCTAGTTTTCTTCCATTTCCGCTCAGCTGCCCGAAGCTCTGTTCTGTGAGCTCGCAATGAGTCATCAAGCCACGGATCTGGAGGGGAGGACCGAGCCGGCCGGGAGGATAGGGGACATAGAGAGTCAAAGGATGCAGAAAGGGAGGAGAGGAGGGTTGAGGAGGCAGAATCAGGAGATTGGAGGGAGAAGGATTGAGCAGAGGGAAGAGATGATAGGATGGAAGAGGAGAGAGTAGCGGGAGAGAGAGAGCGAAGGTTGCGACGGCGCATTACCATCTGTGTAGGGGCAGAGTGAGTAGTGTTGGAGGAGAGCGAGAGAGAAAAGGATACAAAGTAGTGGTCGGAGACATGGAGGGGAGTTGCAGTGAGATTAGTAGAAGAACAGCATCTAGTAAAGATGAGGTCAAGCGTATTGCCTGCCTTGTGAGTAGGGGGGAACGGTGAGAGGGTGAGGTTAAAAGAGGAGAGGAGTGGAAAGAAGGAGGCAGAGAGAAATGAGTCAAATGTAGACGTAGGGAGGTTGAAATCCCCCAGAACTGTGAGGGGTGAGCCATCCTCAGGAAAGGAACTTATCAAGGCGTCAAGCTCATTGATGAACTCTCCAAGGGAACCTGGAGGGCGATAGATGACAAGGATATTAAGCTTAAATGGGCTAGTGACTGTGACAGCATGGAATTCAAATGAGGAGATAGACAGATGGGTCAGGGGAAAAATTGAGAATGTCCACTTGGGAGAGATGAGGATTCCTGTGCCACCACCCCGCTGACCAGATGCTCTCGGGGTATGCGAGAACACATGGTCAGACGAGGAGAGAGCAGTAGGAGTAGCAGTGTTTTCAGTGGTAATCCATGTTTCCGTCAGCGCCAAGAAGTCGAGGGACTGGAGGGTAGCATAGGCTGAGATGAACTCTGCCTTGTTGGCAGCAGAACGGCAGTTCCAGAGGCTGCCTGAGACCTGGAACTCCACGTGGGTGGTGCGTGCAGGGACCACCAGGTTAGAGAGGCAGCAGCCATGCGGTGTGAGGCGTTTGTGTAGCCTGTGCGGAGAGGAGAGAACAGGGATAGGCAGAGGCATAGTTGACAGGCTGCAGCAGATGGCTACAATAATGCAGAGGAGATCGGAATGATCTCTTCAAAGGTAGCCTGTAATATCAAGTCATGTGATTTAGAGATAAGGATATAATTAATTATTTAATATAAATTCACGGAAAGTTGAAAAGATCATTCTGTGTTAACTGTTGTTCAATGTCTCCTAGCTTGTTTCCATCCCTGAGTTATTTTAGAACCCCTGATTATGAACAATATCTTCCTCATCATCTGTCCCAAAGCATTCTGGCCACAGGCTATTGGATCATAATAGAAGAAGAAGAAGAAGAAGAAGAAGAAGAAGAAGATATGGAAGGGAAAACATGTCTTGTGCATTTATTCCAGTCAGTCGGTCGCTCTGTGAGATTTTACAGTTCCCCATACTGTAGAATCTTGGCCTGCAGTCACACAGAACAGAACAGTTTTAAAGAGGAGTGACTCACGGGCAGACAGAGAGAGAGCGGCGGAGGGAGAGAGAGAGTGAGAGAGAGGGGGGGAGGTAGAGAGAGAGTGGGAGGGGGGAGGTAGAGAGAGTGCACGAGAGTGGAGGAGGGAGAGAGAAAGAGAGAGAGAGAGGGGGGGAGGTAGAGAAAAGGAAAGGGGAGAGAGGGAGAGAGGACAGAGGGAAAGATACAGACTGAGAGAAAGAGAGATGGGATGGAGGGAGGGAGGGAGAGAGGACAGGGGAAGATATGAGACATGTTTATAAAGCTGTTACCAGACCAGATAAATAATGAGTGTGATATTCAGATTAATATAGACCATGTTGCCATGTTCACCAGTCTGTTCCTGGAAGGATTCCTCCTGCGTTCCACATGAGACCACATAGGGCTCTAGTCAATAGGGTTAGGATTAGGGTTAGGGCAACATTTGGGACGCCCCTCCTCTCTGATCCCTATCTGAACATGAGATGCTCTGTGACAAAGAGCAGTTATTAATACATTATTATTACGTGTTTATGGGAATAATGAATAGATATTAATGCATGAATATTATGGGAATAACTGCTTTCATAGATGGCATCTTGGGGACATTTGGTAAACAAAGTTCCCACCAAACATGCTGCACCTCATTAGCTTGCTCTTTGCTTATACTGCCAGTCATAATCATGACACTCCCTGGTCTATACTGCCAGTCATATATCATGACACTCCCTGGTCTATACTGCCAGTCATATATCATGACACTCCCTGGTCTATACTGCCAGTCATATATCATGACTGAAACAGAACACTGTGGATGTTGAGATAATTAGACATTTAAGGATTATGGAGTCAGAGAGCAGGGGAAGTATCTTAATCCATCTTAAAAACTTTGACACGCACACACACACGCACACACACACACACACACACACACACACACACACACACACACAGTGATGTTTAATTGCGGACCCTGAGGATTGGAGTCTTAATATTGTGAATAGTGTCAAACCACGCGAGCTACGTGAGAACAGCATGATCATAAACGCTGTGTGTGTGTGTGTGTGTGTGTGCGTCATGATGCTGGAGTCCTGATTTTAACCAAACAGAACAGGATCCTTGATTTATTTACTCGTTTCTCTTTGCACTGTTGTGGCAGGTACTGCCCTGAGTGCCCCCCCCCCCCCCCCCCCCCCCCTTCTCTCTCTCTCTCCCTCAATTCAATTTCAATTTAAGGCCTTCATTGCCATGATAAATGTATGTTAACATTGCCAAAGCAAGTGAAATAGATAATAAACAAAAGTGAAATCAACCATAAAATATTAACAGTAAACATTACACTCAGAAGTTCCAAAAGAATAAAGACATTTCAAATGTCATAAATATAGGTTGTATTTACAATGGTGTTTGTTCTTCACATCTTGCTGCTGTGATTGCACACTGTCGTATTTCACCCAATAGATATGGGAGTATATCAAAATTTGATTTGTTTTCGAATTCTTTGTGGGTCTGTGGGAAATCTGAGGGAATTTTTTGTGTATCTAATATGGTCATACATTTGGCAGGAGGTTAGGAAGTGCAGCTCAGTTTCCACCTCATTTTGTGGGCAGTGTGCACATAGCCTGTCTTCTCTTGAGAGCCAGGTCTGCCTTCGGCGGCCTTTCTCCATAGCAAGGCTATGCTCACTGAGTCTGTGCATAGTCAAAGCTTTCCTTAAGTTTGGATCAGTCACAGTGGTCAGGTATTCTGCCACTGTGTACTCTCTGTTTAGGGCCAAATAGCATTCTAGTTTGCTCTGTGTTTTTATAAATTATTTCCAATGTGTCAAGTAATTCTCTTTTAGTTTTCTCATGATTTGGTTGGGTCTAATTGTGTTGTTGTCCTGGGGTTCTGTGGGGTGTAGACATTACAGTGAAATGCTTACTTACACGCCCTTAACCAACAATGCAGTTACAACAATTACAAATAAAAGGTGTTAAGTAAAAAATAGATAAGTAGAAAATAAAAAATTGCAAATAATAAAGAGCAGCAGTAAATTTTAATAACAGTAGGGAGGCTGTATACAGGGGGTACCGGTACAGAGTCAATGTGCAGGGGCACCGGTTAGTCGAGGTAATTGAGGTAATATGTACATGTGGGTAGAGTTAAAGTGACTATGCATAAATAATAAACAGAGTAGCAGCAGCGTAAAAGAGGGGGTGGGGTGGGGTGGGGTGGGGTGGGTGGGTGGGGTGGGTGGGGGGGGGGCAATGCAAATAGTCCGGGTAGCCATGATTACGGGCCCCATGTAGCTCAGTTGGTAGAGCATGGCGCTTGCACCGCCAGGGTTGTGGGTTTGTTTCCCACGGGGGGCCTGTATGAAAATGTATGCACTCACTAACTGTAAGTTGCTCTGGATAAGAGCGTCTGCTAAATGACTAAAATGTAAAAAAAAAAAAAAATTTATGGCTTGAGACTTGGTGCTCTGGTACCGCTTGCAGTGCAGTAGCAGAGAGAACAGTCTATGACTAGGGTGGCTGGAGTCTTTGACAATTTTTAGGGCCTTCGTCTGACACTACCTGGTATAGAGCTTCTGGATGGCAGGAAGCTTGACCCCAGTGATGTACTGGGCCGTACGCACTACCCTCTGTAGTGCCTTGCGGTTGGAGGCCGAGCAGTTGCCATACCAGGCGGTGATGCAACCAGTCAGGATGCTCTCGATGGTGCAGCTGTATAACTTTTTGAGGATCTGAGGACCCATGGCAAATATTTTCAGTCTCCTGAGGGGGAATAGGCTTTGTCGTGCCCTCTTCACGACTGTCTTGGTGTGTTTGGACCATGATAGTTTGTTGGTGATGTGGACACCAAGGAACTTGAAGCTCTCAACCTGTTCCACTACAGCCCCGTCGATGAGAATGGGGGCGTGCTCAGTCCTCTTTTCTTTCCTGTAGTCCACAATCATCTCCTTTGTCTTGATCACGTTGAGGGAGAGGTTGTTATCCTGGCACCACACGGCCAGGTCTCTGACCTCCTCCCTATAGGCTGTCTCATCGTTGTTGGTGATCAGGCCTACCACTGTTGTGTGGTCGACAAACTTAATGATGATGTTGGAGTGGTGCCTGGCCATGCAGTCATGGTTGAACAGGGAGTACAGGAGGGGACTGAGCACGCACCCCTGAGGGGGCCCCGTGTTGAGGATCAGCATGGCAGATGTGTTGTTACCTACCCTTACCACCTGGGGGCGGCCCGTCAGGAAGTCCAGGTGTTTAGTCCCAGGGTCCTTAGCTTAGTGATGAGCTTTGAGGGCACTATGGTGTTGAATGCTGAGCTGTAGTCAATGAATAGCATTCTCACGTAGGTGTTCCTCTTGTCCAGGTGGGAAAGGGCAGTGTGGAGTGAAATAAAGATTGCATCATCTGTGGATCTGTTGAGGCGGTATGCAAATTGGAGGTGTCTAGGGTTTCTGGGATAATGGTGTTGATGTGAGCCATGACCAGCCTTTCAAAGCACTTCATGGCTACAGACGTGAGTGCTACGGGTCAGTAGTCATTCAGGCAGGTTATATTAGTGTTCTTGGGTACAGGGACTATGGTGGTCTGCTTGAAACATGTTGGAATTACAGACTCAGTCAGGCACATGTTGAAAATGTCAGTGAAGACACTTGCCAGTTGGTCAGCGCATGCTCGGAGTACACGTCCTGGTAATCCGTCTGGCCCTGCAGCCTTGTGAATGTTGACCTGCTTAAAAGTCTTACTTACATCGTCTACGGAGAGCGTGATCACATAGTCATGCATGCTTCAGTGTTGCTTGCCTCGAAGCGAGCATAGAAGTTATTTAGCTCGTCTGGTAGGCTCATGTCACTGGGCAGCTCGCGGCTGTGCTTCCCTTTGTAGTCTGTAATAGTTTTCAAGCCCTGCCACATCCGACGAGCGTCAGAGCCGGTGTAGTACGATTGAATCTTAGTCCTGTATTGATTATTTGCCTGTTTGATGGTTCGTCGGAGGGCATAGCGGGTTTTCTTATAAGCGTCCCGCTCCTTGAAATCGGCAGCTCTACCCTTTAGCTCAGTGCGGATGTTGCCTGTAATCCATGGCTTCTGGTTGGGGTATGTACGTACGGTCACTGTGGGGACGACGTCATGATGAAGCATGAGCAGGAGAAGGATGAGAAATCAACAAAGCATGAGAAGATTTTGCCTTTGTTTTGGTCTGTTTGTTTGTCAGTTAGGGTGTGCAGGGTGAATACGTGGTCTGTCGTACGGCAATTTGGTAAAAAGCCAATTTGATATTTGCTCAGTACATTGTTTTCACTGAGGAAATGTACACGTCTGCTGTTAATGATAATGCAGAGGATTTTCCCAAGGTTGCTGTTGACGCATGTCCCACGGTAGTTATTGGGGTCAAATGTGTCTCCACTTTTGTGGATTGGGGTGATCAGTCCTTGGTTCCAAATATTGGAGTAGATGCCAGAGCTGAGGATGATGTTGAAGAGTTTAAGTGTAGCCTATTGGAATTTGTGGCTGTATATTTTATAATTTCATTTAGGATACCATCAACCCCACAGGCCTTTTTGGGTTGGAGGGTTTGTATTTTGTCCTGTAGTTCATTCAATGTAATTGGAGAATCCAGTGGGTTCTGGTAGTCTTTAATAGTTGATTCTAAGATTTGTATTTGATTATGTATATCTTTTTGCTGTTTGTTCTTTGTTATAGGGCCAAAAAGGTTGGAGAAGTGTTTTACCCATACTTCTCAGTTTTGTATAGATAACTCTTTGTGTTGTTGTTTGTTTTCCAATTCTCCCAGAAGTGGTTAGAGTCTATTTATTCCTCAATTACATTGAGCTGAATTCTGACATGCTGTTCCTTCTTTTTCTGTAGTGTATTTCTGTATTGGTTTAGTGATTCACCATAGTGAAGACATAGGCTCAGGTTTTCTGGGTCTCTGTTTTTGGTTGGTTAGGTTTCTCCATTTCTTTCTTAGGTTTTTGCATTCTTCATCAAACCATTTGTCATTGTTGTTAATTTTCTTAGGTTGTCTGCTTGACATTTTTAGATTTGATAGGGAAGCTGAGTGTCACGCCCTGGCTCTGGGACTCTGTTATGTTGAGCCAGGGTGTGTGGTTTCTATGTGTTTTGTGTGCTAGGGTTATTATCTAGTTATTTTGTTTCTATGTTGGCCGGTGTGGTTTTCAATCAGAGGCAACGTGTATCAGCTGTTGCTTGTTGTCTCTGATTGGGAACCATACTTAGGCAGCCTGTTTTCCACAGTGTGTTGTGGGATCTTGTTCCGTTTGGTTTGTGTAACCGTAGGACTTCACGTTTCGTATCGTTGTTGTTTTGTTCGTGTGATCATTCAAATTAAAAGTATGTTCGCATTCCACGCTGCGCCTTGGTCCTCTGTGTATGACGATCGTGACACTGAGAGGTCAAATATACTGTTTAGGTTTTCTCTCTCTCTCTCTCTCTCTCTCTCTCTCTCTCTCTCTCTCTCTCTCTACTAAAAAGGCTAGGATTAGGTAGAGACACACCTTGGCATGTTCACACTGCCAAACTATGTTCAGTAAAGTTTTATTTGAAGCTTGTGAAAACTCTGCTCTCCCGCTCCTTCTCTGGAAATGTTTTACAAACTTGTGCAAGTATATGAGTTTTGTATGTTTGTGTCTGTGGCTCAGCCTGAAGCGATTAACTGACAGTTTTACTGTCATCCCCTACCTATATGTAACAAAGAAAAAAAAACACACACACACTCCTCCAACCACACTATTATGTTTTTATTCATCTTACACAATCACCCGTCACCCCCCTTCCAGTATAAGAAGCCTACTCTGGTGCATGTTCAAAGAGAAATGGAGAGTTGAGCACCAGTGCTACTGCCCTGCTCTCTGCTCTTCCCCCTGCCCAGTGCCCAACCACACTACCTCCCCCCAACCCCAGTTCCCTGCCCCAGCCTTACTGCCCTGTCTCCTGCCCAGTGCCCACGGAACGTAGTTGGCAGAGAGGCTCTCTGTTTGGGTGTGGAGCCTCTGGACCTCCTTCAGTGGTAAGTGGCAGCCTGGCAGTCAACCCACAGTGTGCCAACTAGGGTCATTTTCCTCTGAGGGACTCCGACTGAGGCAGACTGAACTGGTGCCCAGAGTAGAGAGCACTCACAGGACCCACTGTCTCCTCTGTTTCCATTCTGTACTGTAGGGGGTTTGGTTGGTTGGTTTGGTTGCTAAGTCTTACCTTACCAGGCCTGAATAAAGTTGTGTTACGTTGAGCCCTATTCTACTCTAATCTACTCTATTATTTTTTTTTACATTTTAGTCATTCTTATCCAGAGCGACTTACAGTTAGTGAGTGCATACAATTCATTTTTTTATTTCATTTTTTTTTATACTGGCCCCCCGTGGGAATCGAACCCACAACACTGGCGTTGCAAGCGCCATGCTCTACCAACTGAGCTACACGGGACTACTCTAATCTACTCTACTCTACTCTACTCTACTCTATTCTATTCTACTCCACTCCACTCCACTCTACTCTACTCTAATCTACTCTACTCTACTCTATTCTACTCTATTCTACTCTATTCTACTCTACTCTACTCTACTCTATTCTACTCTACTCTATTCTACTCTACTCTACTCTACTCTACTCTACTCTATTCTATTCTATTCTACTCTACTCTACTCTACTCTACTCTACTCTATTCTATTCTACTCTATTCTACTCTGTTCTATTCTATTCTTGTTAGGTGGCAGTGCCCAGTACCCACTCCACCTCCTAGAGATGTGGAGGGTCAAGGATAGAATGTCTCTATTCATATCTGAACTCTATTCATATCTTCAGATATAAACACTACTATTACTGTGACCTTTAAGAGTAAAGGCCAACGTGAACGTCACCAGACTCCCACAAGAACTGTAGCATTTTATAAAGCGGAATTTTATCCTGTACCAAGTAAAAGGGTTTGGACTTTTCTATTTGTGGAACACAATGCAACACAACTTTATCAAAGAGCTCAGCCCTTTTCTATTTGTGGGATATCCTGGCTTTGTTTACACTGGGCTACTATGTTTCACTTTCCTCATGTACTGGAGATGTAGGAGCACACAACATTGGATTATTACACATCAATCATTGTTTCTGAGGGATGAAAAGGGATATCGAAGGATGTGTTAGATTTACTTATATATGCAGTCAGTTTATTCATTGCAGCATGCTTGTGTAACCAGTGGGAATCAAACTGGGGTTTCCTGCTCACCAACCCAAAGTCTAAACCATTAGACCAAGAGATCATCATCAAGGGCCGAGAGCTACCTCTTTACAAGATTCCCGATCACCTTTGCTACATTTGCTCTATTCTAAGCCTCCCCTCCCTCTCTCCTGTGTTCTCCAGTGGTGGGCACGACCATCGAGTCGCCGGTGGTACCAGTCATCCTGGTCAGCCTGCTACCCTTATTGATGCTGGCGGTGGTAGTCATCGGCGTGTTCTACTGGTACCGAGTCCACCGCCAACGCAAACTCACCCAGGAGCAATGGGACAGCAAGAAGCCCAAACGCAAGGGCAAAGGTGAGGACCACCACAATGGAATCAATCAATCAGTTAATCATCAAATCAATCAGTCAATCATGAGATCAATCGATCAGTCATGAGCTCAATCAGACAATCATGAGATCAATCGAACAGTCATGAGATCAGTCAGTCAATCATGAGATCAATCAATCAGTCATGATATAAAACAGTCAATCATGAGATCAATCAATCAGTCATGAGATCAATCAGTCATTCATTAGATAAATCAATCAGTCATGATATCAATCAGTCAATCATGAGATCAATCAATCAGTGATGAGATCAATCAGTCAATTATGAGATCAATCAGTCAATCATCAAATCAATCATACATGAAAATGCTTTAGTGTGTTAATACTGGAAAATTGTTTTAAATGTATTATGTTGTTTCTGTCTGGAGAGACTGGCTTTACATGTGATTTAATTATCCAATAGATTCAAACAATCAATAAATCAATCAATCAATAAACAGGTCTGGACTGCAGTGATGCCTGTGCTATCATGATGGACGACGATGGATCAGACAGCAGCTCAACTCACGCCAACAACCTCAACCACAACACTGAACTCCTACCCATTGAGCTGGACCTGCAGGTCCGCAGAGCTATCTTGTTGTTGTTGTTGTTGTTGTTGTTTGTTTCTTCTTCTCCTCCTTCTACTTCTTCTTCTTCTTCTCTTCTTCTTCTTCTCCTTCTACTTCTCCTCCTCCTCCTCCTCCTCCTCCTCTTCTTCTTCTTCTTCTTCTTCTTCTTCTTCTTCTTCTTCTTCTTCTTCTTCTTCTTCTTCTTCTTCTTCTTCTTCTTCTTCTTCTTCTTCTTCTTCCTCCTCCTCCTTCTTCTTCCTCCTCCTGTATTTAGCATGACTGTAAGTCACTTTGGATAAAAGCGTCTGCTAAATGGAATATATTTTTATATTCTTCTTCTCCTTCTTCTTCTTCTTCCTCTTCTACTAGAAATCCTTGTTAGTGCATGGCCGACTTTAGGGCTTTTCCCTGTGGTGCTCCTTTCAACATCCTGTTCTTTTCTGCTTTAGATTAGCCCTAACTTCTCACTTTTACTCCAAACACAGGGGGGTAAGGGTTATAACCAGCTTTACTGTATATTATATTGACATTAAGTGGGTAAGGGTTATAACCAGCTTTACTGTATATTATATTGACATTAGGTGGGTAAGGGTTATAACCAGCTTTACTGTATATTATATTGACATTAGGTGGGTAAGGGTTATAACCAGCTTTACTGTATATTATATTGACATTAGGTGGGTAAGGGTTATAACCAGCTTTACTGTATATTATATTGACATTAGGTGGGTAAGGGTTATAACCAGCTTTACTGTATATTATATTGACATTAGGGGGGTAAGGGTTATAACCAGCTTTACTGTATATTATACTGACATTAGGTGGGTAAGGGTTATAACCAGCTTTACTGTATGTTATATTGACATTAGGTGGGTAAGTGCTATAACCAGCTTTACTGTATGTTATATTGACATTAGGTGGGTAAGTGTTATAACCAGCTTTACTGTATATTATATTGACATAACCAGCTTTACTGTATATTATACTGACATTAGGTGGGTAACGATTATAACCAGCTTTACTGTATATTATATTGACATTAGAGGGGTAAGGGTTATAACCAGCTTTACTGTATATTATACTGACATTAGGTGGGTAAGGGTTATAACCAGCTTTACTGTATGTTATATTGACATTAGGTGGGTAAGTGTTATAACCAGCTTTACTGTATATTATATTGACATAACCAGCTTTACTGTATATTATACTGACATTAGGTGGGTAACGATTATAACCAGCTTTACTGTATATTATATTGACATTAGGTGGGTAAGGGTTATAACCAGCTTTACTGTATATTATATTGGCTTTAGGGGGGTAAGGGTTATAACCAGCTTTACTGTATATTATATTGACAGTAGGGGGGTAAGGGTTACAACCAGCTTTACTCTATATTATATCTACATTAGGTGGGTAAGGGTTATAACCAGCTTTACTCTATATTATATCTACATTAGGTGGGTAAGGGTTATAACCAGCTTTACTGTATATTATATTGACATTAGGGGGGTAAGGGTTATAACCAGCTTTACTCTATATTATATCTACATTAGATGGGTAAGGGTTATAACCAGCTTTACTCTATATTATATCTACATTAGGTGGGTAAGGGTTATAACCAGCTTTACTGTATATTATACTGACATTAGGTGGGTAACGATTATAACCAGCTTTACTGTATATTATATTGACATTAGAGGGGTAAGGGTTATAACCAGCTTTACTGTATATTATATTGACATTAGGTGGGTAAGGGTTATAACCAGCTTTACTGTATATTATATTGGCTTTAGGGGGGTAAGGGTTATAACCAGCTTTACTGTATATTATATTGACAGTAGGGGGGTAAGGGTTATAACCAGCTTTACTCTATATTATATCTACATTAGGTTGGTAAGGGTTATAACCAGCTTTACTGTATATTATATTGACATTAGGGGGGTAAGGGTTATAACCAGCTTTACTCTATATTATATCTACATTAGGTGGGTAAGGGTTATAACCAGCTTTACTCTATATTATATCTACATTAGGTGGGTAAGGGTTATAACCAGCTTTACTCTATATTATATCTACATTAGGTGGGTAAGGGGCGCTTCGCTGAGGTGTACAAGGCCAAGCTGAGACAGCCCGGCTCCTCGGCGGACCAGTTTGAGACGGTGGCCGTGAAGATCTTCCCTGAGGAGGAGTATGCGTCATGGAAGAATGAGAAGGACATCTTCTCTGACATCGACCTTCGCCACGACAACGTCCTCCACTTCCTCACAGCAGAGGAGAGAAAGGTAGTGTTCCATCCCAAATGGCACCCTATTCCCTATATAGTGCACTACTTTGGCCTAATCACAGCCTGTATTATCTTTGTTGCACTTTACGGAAGGGATTGCAGGGATACATACTGTATACTGTTGTCCACTAGCTCTATTATGAAAACATGAACTTGACTATTGTTCCCAAGCCTGGTCCCAGATCAGTTGGTACTATCATGCCAACTCCATGGATGAATGTCAAGCCGAACATGGCCTGACAATGAGTGACAAGGAGTTGGCATGATAGTACAAACAGATTGGCCTGACGACTCAAACTGAATTCTTCCACTGCTCTGTGTTCGCTACGTACTTCAGTCTGAGACTGACATCGTTAAAGTTGTGTAAGGTGACGTCCAAATGAGGGGTGATGTACATAACAAAGTAATCAGCGATTGGATCATCTCTAACCAATCAGAGTATTAAAGCCAATGACACATTTTCAAATCAACGCTTTACCCACATGTGTTCTGGCTCTGGTCCCAACCCATCGGTTTCTGGACCAATCAGAACAGTTAGAATGTGTTTGCGTTCTAGAAATCGTCTGGGAGATACTCAGATCCAGACTCATTGTGGAGAAGAAACTAACGTCCATGGGCGTGGCGTAGGGTTAGGCCAGAGCAAGGAGCTTGGGTAGCCAGGCAACAAACAGACTGGCACTTAAGCTAATTGTTCCCTACACCCTTTTAACAGCATGATTTATCGGCATGGTGTCTTTTGTCCATTCTAGATGTCGAATCAGTACTGGCTGATCACAGCCTTCCACCCCAGGGGGAACCTTCAGGAGTACCTGACCCGCAACCTGGTCTCCTGGGAGGATCTGCGAGGTCTGGGGGGGTCCCTGGCCTGCGGGGTGGCCCACCTTCACAGTGACCACACGGCCTGCGGGCGGCCCAAGGTGCCCATCGTCCACCGCGATCTGAAGAGCTCTAACATCCTGGTGAAGCAGGATCTGACCTGTTGTCTGTGTGACTTTGGACTGGGACTCAGACTGGATAATACCCTGACAGTGGATGATCTAGCAAACAGCGGACAGGTGAGAACAACAGTTATTGTTGTTGATGTGAACATTATAACCCTATGACATTGTTTATAGAGATATTAGAGTACTGAATAAGCTGTAGCCTACGTCCCACTGTTCAGAGAGTGTGGTGGTTTATAGAGATATTAGAGTACTGAATAAGCTGTAGCCTACATCCCACTGTTCAGAGAGTGTGGTGGTTTATAGAGATATTAGAGTACTGAATAAGCTGTACCCTACGTCCCACTGTTCAGAGAGTGTGGTGGTTTATAGAGATATTAGAGTACTGAATAAGCTGTAGCCTACGTCCCACTGTTCAGAGAGTGTGGTGGTTTATAGAGATATTAGAGTACTGAATAAGATGCACCTCCCTTTCAGTGTTCAGAGTCTCAGAGAGTCACTAGACCAGAATGGGATTTCTTTATTTACTGTAGATGCATATTTGTGGTTGTATGTTCTTTTTATTCTCTCATGAACGTTGTGCCATATGAGTTGCATTTGTTTTGCACACTGGCTGTTCTCAGTGTTAAGACAGAACTGTTTGCTGACAGGGTAAGAGAGAGAGGGGGGGGGCAGAGAAAGAGAGAGAGGGGGGGGGGGGGGGGCAGAGCAGAGAGAGAGAGAGGGGGGGGGGGGGCCAGAGAGAGAGAGAGAGACAGAGGAGAGCGAGAGAGAGAGAGGAGAGCGGAGAGAGAGAGAGAGAGAGAGAGGGGGGGGGGGGGGGAGGGAGGGGGGCAGAGAGAGAGAGAGAGGGGGGAGGGAGGGAGGGGGCAGAGAAAAAGAGAGAGAGAGAAAAGAGTTTCAGAGAGATAGTGATAGAGTGAGAGAGAGCGAGAAGTGTTTCAGAGAGATAGTGATAGAGAGAGAGAGAGCGAGAAGAGTTTCAGAGAGATAGTGATAGAGAGATAAAGCAGTGAAGAAAAGAGGGCAGGCTGTGTTGAGACATGCAGGGGAACCCCCTCAGTCAGTTGTATCAGTCTATCTTCTATCAGACTGAACTTTGTTAATGTGTGCTGGTCTGATGTATGATTCACCGGCTGGTAATGCAGCAGTAGAAACAGGTGATAGGCTAAGAGGGGGATGATGACTAACTAACATACACACATCTTTCCCATACTAACAAAGGCCTAGACATTGTTTAGGTTAAACAGCAAAGTGGTGTTTTCCCACTTTTCCCACATAAAAACTCTCTCCTGGAATCATGTTTCCTCATGATCGTGAGCATCCAATATTTCTAAGGCTTCAAATCAAAGGACAATTCTAGTCTTAATTCTGGTTTATTATAGATGTTTTTCTGATTTTTAAATGGGACACTGATGACAGAGGCAGGAAATGAGCCATAAAAGCAACAGAAAATAGAGCTGCAAGCAGCCATGCCGGGGTTCAAGCTTTGGCCCCACAGCGCCACCATCAGGACTAATTGGACACATTGCCCTTGGATGAGCTACTACTGTACTTCTTACCACGTTTGCCAAATATCAGAACTCAAAATCTAACAGATCATGCAATATGCTTTTGATGGATTTTGGACCATGTCAACGATGTTGACTTGTTCAAACAGCATGGCAGTTATAAACCAATGAGCTTGCATGAATGGTTTTTCCTGTTCAACGGCGCCACCATGCGGCAAAACTGAACTATACTTAACAGGTTAGCTAGACTTATATCGCTGAGCATGTGTGCCAAATTGCATCACTCTGAGTCAAACTGATCAGGAGAACACAGTGGCCTTTACAGCGTCACTGTGTTCCATCTGAATGTACTTAGATACTCTGTCTCCTCTAACAAAGTTATTTGGTGACTCTCTCTCTTTTTCTCTATCTCCCTCTCTCACTCTCTCTCTCTCTCTCTCTCTCTCTCTCTCTCTCTCTCTCTCTCTCTATCTCCCTCTCTCTCAATTCAATTTCAATGTCAATTCAATTTCAATTTCAATTCAATTCAATTCAATTCAATTTAAGGGCTTTATTGGCATGGGAAAAGTATGTTAACATTGCCAAAGCAAGTGAAGTAGATAGTAAACAAAAGTGAAATAAACAATCAATATTAAAAGTAAACATTACACTCAGAAGTTCCAAAGGAATAAAGACATTTCAAATGTCATATTATGTATATATACAGTGTTGTAACAATGTGCAAATAGTTAAAGTACAAATGGGAAAATAAATAAACATAAATATGGGTTGTATTTACAATGGTGTCTGTTCTTCACTGGTTGCCCTTTTCTTGTGGCAACAGGTCACAAATCTTGCTGCTTTGATGGCACACTGTGGTATTTCACCCAGTAGATAAGGGAGTTTATCAAAATTGGGTTTCTTTTCAAATTCTTTGTGGATCTCTGTAATCTGAGGGAAATATATGTCTCTAATATGGTCATACATTTGGCAGGAGGTTAGGAAGTGCAGCTCAGTTTCCAGCTCATTTTGTGGGCAGTGTACACATAGCCTGTCTTCTCTTGAGAGCCAGGTCTGCCTACGGCGGCCTTTCTCAATAGCAAGGCTATGCTCACTGTTTGGGTCAGTCACAGTGGTCAGGTATTCTGCCACTGTGTACTCTCTGTTTAGGGCCAAATAGCATTCTAGTTTACTCTGTTTTTTTGTAAATTCTTTCCAATGTGTCAAGTAATTATCTTTTTGTTTTCTCATGATTTGGTTGGGGCTAATTGTGTTGCTGTCCTGGGGCTCTGTGGGGTCTGTTTGTGTTTGTGAAAAGAGCCCCAGGACCTGCTTGCTTAGGGGACTCTTCTACAAGTTCATCTATCTGTAGGTGATGGCTTTGTAATGGAAGGTTTGGGAATCGCTTCCTTTTAAGTGGTTGTAGAATTTAACGGCTCTTTTCTGGAGTTTGATAAAAAGCGGGTATCGGCCTAATTCTGCTCTGCATGCATTATTTTGTGTTTTTTATTGTACACAGAGGATATTCTTGCAGAATTCTGCATGCAGAGTCTCAATTTGGTGTTTGTCCCATTTTGTGAATTCTTGGTTGGTGAACGGACCCCAGACCTCACAACCATAAATGGCAATGGGTTCTATAACTGATTCAAGTATTTTTAGCCAGATCCTAATAGGTATGTTGAATTTTATGTTCCTTTTGATGGCATAGAAGGCCCATTCTTACCTTGTCTCTCAGATCGTTCATAGCTTTGTGGAAGTTACCTGTGGCGCTGATGTTTAGGCTGGGGCAAATGTGTCTAGATGGAATTTGTATTTGGGGTCCTGGCAACTGGACCTTTTTTGGAACACCATTATTTTTGTCTTACTGAGATTTACTGTCAGGGCCCAGGTCTGACAGAATCTGTGCAGAAGATCTAGGTGCTGCTGTAGGCCCTCCTTGGTTGGTGACAGAAGCACCAGATCATCAGCAAACAGTAGACATTTGACTTCAGATTCTAGTAGGGTGAGGCCGGGTGCTGCAGACTGTTCTAGTGCCCTCGCCAATTCATTGATATATACAGTGGGGAGAACAAGTATTTGATACACTGCCGATTTTGCAGGTTTTCCTACTTACAAAGCATGTAGAGGTCTGTAATTTTTATCATAGGTACACTTCACCTGTGAGAGACGGATGTATCAAATACTTATGTCATGCAATAAAATGCAAATTCATTCCTTAAAAATCATACAATGTGATTTTCTGGATTTTTGTTTTAGATTCCGTCTCTCACAGTTGAAGTGTACCTATGATAAATTACATTACAGACCTCTACATGCTTTGTACGTAGGAAAACCTGCAAAATCAGCAGTGTATCAAATACTTGTTCTCCTCACTGTATGTTGAAGAGGGTGGGGCTTAAATTGCATCCCTGTCTCACCCCACGGCCCTGTGGAAAGAAATCAGTGTGTTTTTTGCCCATTTTAACCGTGCACTTGTTGTTTGTGTACATGGATTTTATTATGTCGTATGATTTTCCCGAAACTCCACTTTCGCGCTCTTTCTCTTTCTCTCTCTCTCAGTTCAATTCAATTCAATTCAATTCGCTTTATTGGCATGATGTAACAATGTACATATTGCCAAAGCTTACTTTGGATATTTACACTATTAACATAATTAAAATAATAATCATCAATATTGTCAACGGGACAACAGTAACAACAATAACCAAGGGTCAAAATAACCATTCAACAATAACAATATAGAGGACATGTGCAGGTTTGTTGGTCTGTCAGACACTGTCCCTCATCTTATGGCAGGCAGCAACGTAGTGCGCTGCGAACCCACAGCTCTGCGTGCTCCCCCAACAGGACAGGTAGCCTATTCTCATCAGAGAGGTCTCTCTCTCTCTCTCTCTCTCTCTCTCTCTCTCTCTCTCTCTCTCTCTCTCTCTCTCTCTCTCTCTCTCGCTCTCCTCTCTCTCTCTCGCTCTCTCTCTCTCTCTCTCTCTCTCTCTCTCTCTCTCTCTCTCTCTCTCTCTCTCTCTCTCTCTCTCTCTCTCTCTCTCTCTCTCTCTCTCTCTCTCTCTCTCTCTCTACTAAAAGGCTAGGATTAGTTAGAGACACACCTTGGCATGTTCACACTGCCAAACTATGTTCAGTACAGTTTCATTTGAAGCTTGTGAACCCTCTGCTCTCCCTCTCCTTCTCTGGAAGAGGTGGGAATACTTATGCCAACTAACTAGAACTATCTCTGTCTCTGTCTCTGTCTCTCTTCTTCAGCTGGGCACAGCCAGGTATATGCTCCAGAGGTTTGAGACTATGTTTAAACTATGTTGAGACTATGTTGAGACTATGTTGGGACTAGTTTGTGACTATGTTGAGACTTTGTTGAGACTATGTTGTGACTAGGTTGAGACTAGGTTGTGACTATGTTATGACTATGTTGAGACTAGGTTGTGACTATGTTGAGACCATGTTGAGACTATGTTGAGACTATGTTGAGACTATGTTGTGAATATGTTGAGACTATGTCGAGACTATGTCGTGACTATGTTAAGACTATGTTGTGACTATGTTGAAACTATGTTGAGACTATGTTGAGAATATGTTGAGACTATGTTGAGACTATGTTGTGACTATGTTGTGACTATGTTGTGATTATGTTGAGACTATGTTGTGACTATGTTGTGACTATGTTGAGACTATGTTGTGACGATGTTGTGACTATGTTGTGACTATGTTGAGACTATGTTGTGACTATGTTGAGACTATGTTGTGACTATGTTGTGACTATGTTCTGGTATGTACAGGTGGGCACAGCCTGGTGACATGGCTCCTGAGGTTTGAGACTATGTTTAAACTATGTTGTGACTAGGTTGAGACTAGTGTTGTGACTATGTTGTGACTATGCTCTGTTGTGACATGTTGGTCTATGTTGAGACTATGTTGTAACTATGTTGTGACTATGTTGAGACATGTTGTGACGATGTTGTGACTATGTGAGACTATGTTGTGACTATGTGAGACTAGTGGACTTGTTTGAGCAGGTTGGGACAGTCCAGGTACATGTGACCTGAGGTTTGAACTATGTTTAAACTATGTTGAGACTGGTTGTGACTATGTTGTGACTATGTTGTGACTATGTTGAGACTATGTTGAACTAGTTGTGAACTATGTTGAGACTATGTTGAGACTAGTGTGTGGACTATGTTGGACTATGTGTGACTATGTTGAGACTACTGTCTTGTGACTATGTTGACACTATGTTGTGACTATGTTGAGACTATGTTGTGACTATGTTGTGACTATGTCTCTGTGTATTACAGGTGGGCACAGCCAGGTACATGGCTCCTGAGGTTTGAGACTATGTTTAAACTATGTTGTGACTATGTTGAGACTAGGTTGTGACTATGTTGTGACTATGTTGAGACTATGTTGAGACTAGGTTGTGACTATGTTGAGACTATGTTGTGACTATGTTGAGACAATGTTGAGACTATGTTGGACTAGTGGACTATGTTGAGACTATGTTGAGACTAGTTGTGACTATGTTGAGACTATGTTGGACTATGTTGTGCTATGTTGAACTATGTTGTGACTATGTTGGACTTGTAATGACTGTCGTGGACTATGTTTTAGACTATGTTCAACTATGTTGGAGGACTTGTTTCTGACCTATGTGACACTCGTTGGGAGTGAACTAGGGTTAGACTTGTTGGCCAGCTCTTTTTCGGTGGGACATGCAGTTCTTGGCTCTGGTGACTCAGTTCAACTATTCTGACTAGTTGACCTATGTTGAGACTATTGAGCCAATGTTGGACTAGTTGTAAACTAGTGCTTGTGCCATTACTAGTGAACAATCCGTAGATAGGCTCTGGACTCTTGAGACCTAGTTAAAACATGGTTTGACTGTGAGCGACTATTTTGACTCTTTGTAGGCTAGTTGGACAATGTATGACTAGTTGTGACTATGTTCGACTGTTACAACTTACTTCCAGACTAAGTTAAGTGTCCAACAATGTTGAATCTGTCGGACTTGGCAGCTATTTGCAACAGGCTTTAACTTGTGCCAAACTATGCCCTCGTAAATGTATATCCAGATGTGCTCTGCTGTGGTGACTCTCAGATCCACCTCTACGCAAACGACACCATTTTGTATACATCTGGCCCTTCATTGGACATTGTGTTAACAAACCTCCAAACGAGCTTCAATGCCATACAACACTCCTTCAGTAGCCTCCAACTGCTCTTAAACACTAGTAAAACTAAATACATGCTCTTCAATCGAACGCTGCTGGCACCCGCCCACCCGACTAGAATCACTACTCTCGACGGGTCTGACCTAGAGTATGTGGACAACTACAAATACCTAGGTGTCTGGTTAGACTGTAAACTCTCCTTCCAGACTCACATTAAGAATCTCCAATCCAAAGTTAAATCTAGAATCGGCTTCCTATTTCGCAACAAAGCCTCCTTCACTCATGCTGCCAAACATGCCCTCGTAAAACTGACTATCCTACCGATCCTTGACTTCTGCGATGTCATTTACAAAATAGCCTCCAACACACTACTCAGCAAATTGGATGTTGTCTATCACAGTGCCATCCGTTTTGTCACCAAAGCCCCATATACTACCCACCACTGTGACCTGTACGCTCTTGTTGGCTGGTCCTCACTACATATTCGTCGCCAAACCCACTGGCTCCAGGCCATCTATAAATCACTGCTAGGCAAATCCCTGCCTTATCTTAGCTCATTGGTCACCATAGCAACACCCACCCGTAGTATGTGCTCCAGCAGGTATATCTCACTGGTCATCCCCAAAGCCAACACCTCCTTTGGCCGCCATTCCTTCCAGTTCTCTGCTGCCAATGACTGGAATGTACTGCAAAAATCTCTGAAGCTCGAGACTCTTATCTCCCTCACTAACTTTAAGCATCAGTTGTCAGAGCACCTTACCGATCACTGCACCTGTACACAGCCCATCTGAAATTAGTCCACCGAAGTACCTCATCCCCATATTGTTATTTATTTTGTTCATTTGCACCCCAGTATCTCTATTTGCACATCATCTCTTGCACATCTATCATTCCAGTGTTAATACTAATTGTAATTATTTTGCACTATAGCCTATTTATTGCCTTACCTCCATAACTTGCTACATTTGCACACACTGTATATATATTTTCTGTTGTATTTTTGACTTTATGTTTTGTTTTACCTCATATGTAACTCTGTGTTGTTGTTTTTATCGCACTGCTTTGCTTTATCTTGGCCAGGTTGCAGTTGTAAATGAGAACTTGTTCTCAACTGGCTTACTTGGTTAAATAAAGGTGAAATAAAAATAAAATAAAATAAAAATGTTGAGACTGGGTTGTGACTATGTTGAGACTATGTTGAGACTAGGTTGTGACTATGTTGAGACTATGTTGTGACTATGTTGTGACTATGTTGAGACTATGTTGAGACTATGTTGAGACTATGTTGTGAATATGTTGAGACTATGTTGAGACTATGTCGTGACTATGTTGAGACTATGTTGTGACTATGTTGAGACTATGTTGTGACTATGTTGTGACTATGTTGAGACTATGTTGTGACTATGTTGAGACTATGTTGTGACTATGTCTCTGTGTATTACAGGTGGGCACAGCCAGGTACATGGCTCCTGAGGTGCTGGAGTCCAGGCTGAACCTGGAAAACATTGAGTCGTTCAAGCAGACAGATGTCTACTCTATGGCTCTGGTGTTGTGGGAGATCACCTCCCGCTGTCATGCCATCGGAGGTATGTACGTACACCCACACACACACAAACACACACACACACACACACACACACACACACACACACACACACACACACACACACACACACACAAGCATAACCCAGATTAATCCTACTTCCTTAGCCTTTAAGCCTTCTGGACAATGCTAAGAGCATGCTCAATGGAGCAATGGAGAAACGTCCATGAACAGGCTTAATATGGGTCAGGGAAAGCGTCTGAATGTTGGGGTGCTTGACTGAGGGACACGGCAAATAAACATTCTTTCCCACTGAGGACTATTAGGGTAGTAGCTGAATTAGTAGCTGAATTATGATTGGCTCTTCTTAAACCTACACCAAAATATTAGCCCAACACCGTGTGGTATTTCATTTTTTACTCTCTGGGCATTTTTCTGTCTCTAATCCATTTCAGACTACTTAGTGGTGTCATGGTCATGGTAGAGCACCTCATACAGTAACTAGCAGTGTGTCAAGGTAGAGTACCTCATACAGTAACTAGCAGTGTGTGATGGTAGAGTACCTCATACAGTAACTAGCAGTGTGTCATGGTCGTGGTAGAGTACCTCATACAGTAACTAGCAGTATGTGATGGTAGAGTACCTCATACAGTAACTAGCAGTGTGTGATGGTAGAGTACCTCATACAGTAACTAGCAGTATGTGATGGTAGAGTACCTCATACAGTAACTAGCAGTGTGTGATGGTAGAGTACCTCATACAGTAACTAGCAGTATGTGATGGTAGAGTACCTCATACAGTAACTAGCAGTGTGTGATGGTAGAGTACCTCATACAGTAACTAGCAGTATGTGATGGTAGAGTACCTCATACAGTAACTAGCAGTGTGTGATGGTAGAGTACCTCATACAGTAACTAGCAGTGTGTAATGGTAGAGTACCTCATACAGTAACTAGCAGTGTGTGATGGTAGAGTACCTCATACAGTAACTAGCAGTGTGTGATGGTAGAGTACCTCATACAGTAACTAGCGGTATGTGATGGTCGTGGTAGAGTACCTCATAAAGTAACTAGCAGTGTGTGATGGTAGAGTACCTCATACATTAACTAGCAGTATGTGATGGTAGAACACATCATACAGTAACTAGCAGTATGTGATGGTAGAGTACCTCATACAGTAACTAGCAGTGTGTGATGGTAGAGTACCTCATACAGTAACTAGCAGTATGTGATGGTAGAACACCTCATACAGTAACTAGCAGTATGTGATGGTCGTGGTAGAGCACCTCAGATCCTGCTTGGTTCTCAGGAGGAGGAATCTGTGGAATGTTTAGAATGTGAAGTAGACATCAGAACACTTGCCCTTCTTTGGGCAGGAGGGGAGGTGTGATGGCTTCAGCTGGCTGTGTTTGACTGCCCTTCAGAGTGTTCTGAGTGAGTGAGAGTGTGAGTGAATGAGTCAGTGAGTGAGTGAGTTAGTTTGGAGTGGGAAGTGGGGTGTATGTGTGAGTGTGTGTGTGCATGTCAGGCCATATGTTTGAAAGCATTGCAGGGGTTAGACAGTGTCTGCTTCTCTCTAACCTGTCTGAGACTGAAATCTCTTTATGAAAACAGAGATAATAGACAGATAGAAGACATTATAAATCCTTTCAGCTGTAATGAGGCTTCTCAGCTTCCTAATGCTCCTCTGAGGCTTCTCAGCTTCCTAATGCTCCTCTGATGCTTCACAGCTTCCTAATGCTCATCTGAGGCTTCTCAGCTCCTAATGCTCCTCTGAGGCTTCTCAGCTTCTTAATGCTCCTCTGAGGCTTCTCAGCTTCCTAATGCTCCTTTGAGGCTTCTCAGCTTCCTAATGCTCCTCTGATGCTTCTCAGCTTCTTAATGCTCCTCTGAGGCTTCTCAGCTTCCTAATGCTCCTTTGAGGCTTCTCAGCTTCCTAATGCTCCTCTGATGCTTCTCAGCTTCCTAATGCTCCTCTGAGGCTTCTCAGCTTCCTAATGCTCCTCTGAGGCTTCTCAGCTTCTTAATGCTCCTCTGAGGCTTCTCAGCTTCCTAATGCTCCTTTGAGGCTTCTCAGCTTCCTAATGCTCCTCTGATGCTTCTCAGCTTCCTAATGCTCCTCTGAGGCTTCTCAGCTTCTTAATGCTCCTCTGAAATGTCTGTAAAGGTTGTGGTTGTGGTTGTGTGTGTGTGTGTGTGTGTGTGTGTGTGTGTGTGACTTTTGTAGTTGTGTGTCTCCTGTTGTAGACGGGGCTGGTCTGAGGCTGTGCTCCCCTCATGCCCCTGCCTGTCTCAGAGACATACTGTATGTCAGACCCAGTAGAGGAGACTCCGCTCCAGTCCTCTCAGAGACATACTGTATGTCAGACCCAGTAGAGGAGACTCCGCTCCAGTCCTCTCAGAGACATACTGTATGTCAGACCCAGTAGAGGAGACTCTGCTCCAGTCCTCTCTATCCAGGGCTTATCTAAGGGGGGGGGGGGCAATTCAGCCTATGTATCTGGGACAGATGCAGTGAAATGGATACTGGTGGAGGCCTGACCGCACCTCTCCTCTCCTCTTGTCTGTCTTTAAGCCAACAACAGCACGACTAGAGGACAGAAATACTGCCCTGTTGTTGTTGTGGTGGTTCCACCTCTCTCTCTCTATCTCTCTCTGTCTGTCTCTCTCTCTCTTTCTCTCTCTCTCTGTCTCTCTCTCTCTCCCGCTATCTTTCTGGGTGGAATTTGTGTGTCCTGAATTAGCCCAGGGTTGCGGTGGGCCGAACCAGGCACCAGGACGGCCAGTCAGAGTGGTCAGAACAGGGCCAGTCTATAAGCAGTGGAGTGGGACAAAGGTGAGGGGAGGACCTGTCAGTCAGTCAGCCTGGGGAGGGAAAGCCCCCGGCGGGTGGTATGGGGCAGAGAAGGGCCAGGGAGAGGACCTGTCAGTCAGTCAGCCTGGGGAGGGAATGCCCCCGGCGAGTGGTATGGGGCAGAGAAGGGCCAGGGTGAGGACCTGTCAGTCAGTCAGCCTGGGGAGGGAATGCCCCCGGCGAGTGGTATGGGGCAGAGAAGGGCCAGGGAGAGGACCTGTCAGTCAGTCAGCCTGCCTGTAGAGGAAGGGGAATGGACCTGCGTGGCCCTGGGGAGACAGAGTAGTCGGGTGGGCAGCAGCTGGGAAGCAGGTGGCAGAGCAGGACTGCCTGGGCCCCATACAGCCATACACACCATTCGTCTCCACTGGGCTTGAATTACCTACAGCAACAACAGCCACAGCAGCAGGCTAGCTACCCCCACAGCAGTAACACTGGCTATGGAGCCCACTCCCACTCTCTCTCTCTCTCTCTGGAGGGATACTGTAACTTTCCAGGCTCCCTCTGGCTTTTTACAAGGTACTGAATTACTGACTGTGGTTGATGGCCTATACTCCCTGAGGAGTTGAAGTAAGGAAGTATTTGTTACTGCCTGACACGCTCGTAACTGTGTGGTGCTCTGCACTGACAACACACACAAACACTGAGTGTACAAATCATGCTCTCTCCGTGGACTGACCAGGTGAATCCAGGTGAAAGCGATGATCCCTTATCGATGTCACCTGTTAAATCCACTTCAATCAGTGTAGATGAAGGGGAGGAGACAGGTTAAATAAATATTTTTAAGCCTTGAGACATGGATTGTGTATGTGTGCCTTTCAGAGGGTGAATGGGCAAGACAAAAAATGTACGTGCCTTTGAACGGTGTATGGTAGTAGGTGCCAGGCACACCGGCTTGAGTGTCCAGCCAACTTGACACGACTGTGGGAAGCATTGGAGCCAACATGGGCCAGCATCCCTGTGGAACGCTTTCGACACCTTGTAGAGTCCACGCCCTGACGAATTGAGGCTGTTCTGAGGGCAAAAGTGGGTACAACTCAATATTAGGAAGGTGTTCCTAATGTTTTGTACATCCTGTGGACTCCTGCTCGTCAAACATCTCTTTCCAAAATCATGGGCATTAATATGGAGTTGGTCCCCCCTTTACTGCTATAACAGCCTCCACTCTTCTGGGTAGGTTTTCCACTAGATGTTGGAACATTGCTGCGGGGACTTGCTTCCATTCAGCCACAAGAGAATTAGTGAGGTTGGGCACTGATGTTGTGCGATTAGGCCTGGCTCGCAATCGGCGTTCCAATTCATCCCAAAGATGTTCGATGGGGTTGAGGTCAGGGCTCTGTGCAGGCCAGTCAAGTTCTTCGAAACCGATCTCAACAAACCATTTCTGTATGGACCTCGCTTTGTGCACAGGGGCATTGTCATGCTGAAACAGGAAAGGGCCTTCCCCAAACTATTGCCACAAAGTTGGGAGCACAGAATCGTCTAGAATGTAATTGTATGGTGTAGCGTTAAGATTTCCCTTCACTGGAACTAAGGGGCCATTATTCCTCCTCCACCAAACTTTACAGTTGGCACTATGCATTGGGGCAGGTAGCGTTCTCCTGGCAACCGCCAAACCCCGATTCGTCCGTCGGACTGCCAGATGGTGAAGCTTGAGTGTTGCAACCAAGGACAGACGATTTTTACGCGGTTCGCGCTTCAGCACTCGCCGATCCCGTTCTGTGAGCTTGTATGGCCTACCACTTCGCTGCTGAGCCGTTGTCGCGCCTAGACGTTTCCACTTCACAATAACAGCACTTACAGTTGACCGGGGCAGCTCTAGCAGGGCAGACATTTTACAAACTGACTTGTTGGAAAGGTGGCATCCTATGAAGTTCCACGTTGAAAGTATCTGAGCTCTTCAGTAAGGCCATTCTACTGCCAATGTTTGTCTATGGAGATTGCATGGCTGTGTGCTCGATTTTACACACCTGTCAGCAACGGGTGTGGCTGAAATAATTGAATCCACTCATTTAAAGGGGTGTCCACATACTTTTGTATGTATAGTGTATATAACAGTGTGGACAGTTGACAATTCTATAACAGTCTTAACAGTCAGGTTTTGAGTTGGAGTCTGTGTTGTACAATATTGACAGGTCTCTTCAAGTCTGAACAGGCTAGAATGCTAGATGCTATCTGCAGTATGCAGGTTCGCCTGTTGGCCCTGCTTCTCTGTCTGCAGCACTGCTGCAACACCACAGCTAATGGTCACATTTAACATTAGCTACCTAGGTCACAATGTGTTAGCCACAAGCTAACCTCCATAATAGCTCCTGTAATTTTGCCTGGGACTGGGAGAAAGTTAAGCTAAGTGTCTGGTTGGGTTGTTTCCCATAATGTTGTTTTGAGGTTTCTGTTCTCTCTCCGCCCTAGACCAGACAGAGGTTGGTTCAGACAGGAGACCCATGGAGGTTTCAGACAGACAGAGATAATCTGAAATGGAAGCTGTCATAAACCATGTTCCTATGAGTACTTTGATTGGTTGAACTGGTTTTACTATGCGGCCGGGCCCCAGTGAGAGGAGAGCAGCGTTGGTCCCCCTTGTGACATCTGTTCCCAAAGCCACAGCATTCTTCAAATAGCTAGCATCTCCCAGGCTAGGCCAGGACCATGGAGGGAGGGAGGGAGGGAGGGGAGGGGAGGGAGGGAGGGAGGGAGGGAGGGAGGGAGGGAGGGAGGCAGGGAGGAAGATTGGGTGGGAGGCAGGGAGGCAGACAGGGAGGCAGGCAGACAGACAGACAGACAGACAGACAGACAGACAGGCAGGCAGGCAGGCAGGCAGACAGACAGACAGGGAGGCAGGCAGGCAGACAGACAGACAGGGAGGCAGACAGACAGACAGACAGGGAGGCAGACAGGGGGCGGGCAGAAAGGCAGGCAGGGAGGGAGGGAGGGAGGTTCCTGTGTATAGCCCTGTTTTCCTTGGGTCTGTCTCAGCTAGCTTTAGACTCAGCTCTCCTTGTGCTATCTTTCCCTGTGCTGGGGCCCTGCTACTCATTCAATGGGGTTGGTGCTCACCAGAGCAGAGCACTCTGTTCTGGCTCTCTCAGTTCACCAGACCTCAGTGAATAACTGTTCTAAGGTCAGGTAAACATCTGGGCTATTTGTTCAATTTCAGCAGAAACGCAGCAGGACTCAAATAGAGGAGAACTGAAGGACTAGCATAAATAACTAGATCCCATAGGCTGGGTAGGCGTCCAAAAATGGCACCACCCTATTTCCTATACAGTGCACTACTTTCGACCAGAGCCCTATATGCTATATAGGGAATAGGGCACCATTTGGGGGACACACCGTGGGTGTATTCTGTTTAAAAGAAGCTGAAACAGAAGAGGGGAAACAAGGCAAGTCCACTTGTCAACAACAGGATGTATTGGGCTTGTGGAGTCAGCTTCTCTGCAGGGTCCCGGTCCGATCCCGGCCCTAGCTGGGTTTCCTGACCGACCGGGACCAGGGTTCCATTCTGGCCTCTCCACTTCCTGTGGGTCCACAGAGCGATTCAGGACCCTGGCGTACTGAATGACCTTACTGTAACAGGCTCGTACTGTAACACTGTAACACGCCAGTCAAGATCCTTGTGCTGTACTGGTCCAGCCAAGCTGTTGATGGAACTCTGTTACCTCTCCTGGAGGATAACTCTACCTGACTGGGTGTTCCTGAACACTGTTACCTCTCCTGGAGGATAACTCTACCTGACTGGGTGTTCCTGAACACTGTTACCTCTCCTGGGGGATACTCTACCTGACTGGGTGTTCCTGAACACTGCTACCTCTCCTGGAGGATAACTCTACCTGACTGGGTGTTCCTGAACACTGTTACCTCTCCTGGAGGATAACTCTACCTGACTGGGTGTTCCTGAACTCTGTTACCTCTCCTGGAGGATAACTCTACCTGACTGGGTGTTCCTGAACACTGTTACCTCTCCTGGAGGATAACTCTACCTGACTGGGTGTTCCTGAACACTGTTTACCTCTCCTGTAGGATAACTCTTACCTGACTGGGTGTTCCTGAACACTGTTACCTCTCCTGGAGGATAACTATACCTGACTGGGTGTTCCTGAACACTGTTACCTCTCCTGGGGGATAACTATACCTGACTGGGTGTTCCTGAACACTGTTACCTCTCCTGGAGGATAACTCTACCTGACTGGGTGTTCCTGAACACTGTTACCTCTCCTGGAGGATAACTCTACCTGACTGGGTGTTCCTGAACACTGTTACCTCTCCTGGAGGATAACTCTACCTGACTGGGTGTTCCTGAACACTGTTACCTCTCCTGGAGGATAACTCTACCTGACTGGGTGTTTCCTGAACACTGTTACCTCTCCTGGAGGATAACTCTACCTGACTGGGTGTTTCCTGAACACTGTTACCTCTCCTGGAGGATAACTCTACCTGACTGGGTGTTCCTGAACACTGATACCTCTCCTGGAGGATAACTCTACCTGACTGGGGTGTTCCTGAACACTGATTACCTCTCCTGGAGGATAACTCTACCTGACTGGGTGTTCCTGAACTCTGATACCTCTCTGGAGGATAAACTCTACCTGACTGGGTGTTCCTGAAACACTGTTACCTCTCCTGGGGGATAACTATACCTGACTGGGTGTTCCTGAACAACTGTTACCTTCTCCTGGAGGATAACTCTACTGACTGGGTGTTCCTGAACACTGTTACCTCTCCTGGAGGATAACTCTACCTGGAATGGGTGTTCCTGAAACACTGTTACCTCTCCATGGAGGATAACTATACCTGACTGGGTGTTCCTGAACACTGTTACCTCTCCTGGGGGATAACTCTACCTGACCTGGGGTGTTCCTGAACACTGTTACTCTACTGGAGGATAAACTATACCTGACTGGGTGTTCCTGAACACTGTTACCTCTCTGGGAGGATAACTCTACCTGACTGTGTGTTCCTGAACACTGTACCTCTCCTGGAGGATAAACTCTACCTGACCTGGGTGTTTCCTGAACACTGTTACCTCTCCTGGAGGAATCCTACTGACTGGGTGTTCCTGAACACTGTTACCTCTCCTGGAGGATAACTCTACCTGACTGGGTGTTCCTGAACTCTGATACCTCTCCTGGAGGATAACTCTACCTGACTGGGTGTTCCTGAACACTGTTACCTCTCCTGGAGGATAACTCTACCTGACTGGGTGTTCCTGAACACTGTTACCTCTCCTGGGGGATAACTCTACCTGACTGGGTGTTCCTGAACACTGTTACCTCTCCTGGAGGATAACTATACCTGACTGGGTGTTCCTGAACACTGTTACCTCTCCTGGAGGATACTCTACCTGACTGGGTGTTCCTGAACACTGTTACCTCTCCTGGAGGATAACTCTACCTGACTGGGTGTTCCTGAACACTGTTACCTCTCCTGGAGGATAACTCTACCTGACTGGGTGTTCCTGAACACTGTTACCTCTCCTGGAGGATACTCTACCTGACTGGGTGTTCCTGAACACTGTTACCTCTCCTGGAGGATAACTCTACCTGACTGGGTGTTCCTGAACACTGTTACCTCTCCTGGAGGATAACTCTACCTGACTGGGTGTTCCTGAACTCTGATACCTCTCCTGGAGGATAACTATACCTGACTGGGTGTTCCTGAACACTGTTACCTCTCCTGGAGGATAACTCTACCTGACTGGGTGTTCCTGAACACTGTTACCTCTCCTGGAGGATAACTCTACCTGACTGGGTGTTCCTGAACACTGTTACCTCTCCTGGAGGATAACTATACCTGACTGGGTGTTCCCTGAACACTGTTACCTCTCCTGGAGGATACTCTACCTGACTGGGTGTTCCTGAACACTGTTTACCCTCTCCTGGGGATAACTCTACCTGACTGGGTGTTCCTGAACACTGTTACCCTCTCCTGGAGGATAACTCTAACCTGACTGGTGTTCCTGAACTCTGATCCTTCCCTGGAGGATAACTCTACCTGACTGGGTGTTCCTGAACACTGTTACCTCTCCTTGGAGGATAACTCTACCTGACTGGGTGTTTCCTGAACACTTTACCCTCTCCTGGGGGATAACTCTACCTGACTGGGTGTTCCTGAACACTGTTACCTTCTCCTGGAGGATAACTCTACCTGACTGGGTGTTCCTGAACACTGTTACCTCTCCTGGAGGATAACTCTACCTGACTGGGTGTCCTGAACACTGTTACCTCTCTGGAGGATAACTATACTGACTGGGTGTTCCTGAACACTGTTACCTTCTCCTGGGGGATAACTCTACCTGACTGGGTGTTCCTGAACACTGTTACCTCTCCTGGAGGATAAACTACCTGACTGGGTGTTCCTGAACACTGTTTACCTCTCCTGGAGGATAACTCTACCTGACTGGGTGTTCCTGAACCACTGTTTACTCTCCTGGAGGATAATTCTACCGACTGGGTGTTCCTGAACACTGTTACCTCTCCTGGAGGATACTCTACCTGACTGGGTGTTCCTGAACACTGTTACCTCTCCTGGAGGATAACTCTACCTGAACTGGGTGTTCCTAGCTCTGATACCTCTCCTGGAGGTAACCTCTACCTGACTGGGTGTTCCTGAACACTGTTACCTCTCCTGGAGGATAACTCTACCTGACTGGGTGTTCCTGAACACTGTTACCTCTCCTGGAGGATAACTCTACCTGACTGGGTGTTCCAGAACACTGTTACCTCTCCTGGAGGATAACTATACCTGACTGGGTGTTCCTGAACACTGTTACCTCTCCTGGGGGATAACTCTACCTGACTGGGTGTTCCTGAACACTGTTACCTCTCCTGGGGGATAACTCTACCTGACTGGGTGTTCCTGAACACTGTTACCTCTCCTGGAGGATAACTATACCTGACTGGGTGTTCCTGAACACTGTTACCTCTCCTGGAGGATAACTCTACCTGACTGGGTGTTCCTGAACACTGTTACCTCTCCTGGAGGATAACTCTACCTGACTTGGTGTTCCTGAACACTGTTACCTCTCCTGGAGGATACTCTACCTGACTGGGTGTTCCTGAACACTGTTACCTCTCCTGGAGGATAACTCTACCTGACTGGGTGTTCCAGAACACTGTTACCTCTCCTGGAGGATAACTATACCTGATTGGGTGTTCCTGAACACTGTTACCTCTCCTGGGGGATAACTCTACCTGACTGGGTGTTCCTGAACACTGTTACCTCTCCTGGAGGATAACTATACCTGACTGGGTGTTCCTGAACTCTGATACCTCTCCTGGAGGATAACTCTACCTGACTGGGTGTTCCTGAAATCTGATACCTCTCCTGGAGGATAAATCTACCTGACTGGGTGTTCCTGAACTCTGTTACCTCTCCTGGAGGATAACTCTACCTGACTGGGTGTTCCTGAACTCTGTTACCTCTCCTGGAGGATAACTCTACCTGACTGGGTGTTCCTGAACTCTGATACCTC